CCAGAACCACCTGAGATCCCATTCCACCACGATGCTGAGATGGAGGATGCACCTGCAGGTGATGTGTTGGTCTTTATGAGTTTGTGCAATTTTGTGTTGTTTATTTTTTAATGTGGTATTTATAAGATGTGTTTTTCATGGTTTATGATGTAGGCCTTGATGATGATGACGATGATGATGGCGTTGCTGAGGTTGATGTCAGACCGACACGTCCCACCCGCAGTCGGCGACCACCAGCTCCTCCTGAGGGTGGATGGACACTTGATCATGTCATGGCATCCATATATGATCTGACTACTGACTTTAGAGGATATAGACAGAGCACGAGCAAGTGGCGGAACCAGATGGACACAAGGGTTGCACGGTTGGACACAAGGGTTTCACGCTTGGAGGGTTTAATTGGCGAGGGTGCCCATACTCAGGAGGAGGAGGAGGAGGAACAACAACAAAGTCAATAGGGATGGGCTCAGAAATTATTTACAGTATGAAGTGGCAAAGAAGGGTCACATGCTTTCACATACCCCAAAGCAAAATTATTTACTCACCTGGAGGAACAACAGCAAAGGCAATAGGGAGCAGAAATCCATCTCCATCCTGAGATGTTGCAATCAATAGAGTACCTCTATACTTCCCATACAGATGAGTGCCGTCAATTTGAATTATAGGCTTGCAGTGTTTGAATGCTTCAATGCATTGGTGAAATGTCCAAAAAACCCTTTGAAATACGGCCCTGTCTGTATAAACCCGACGTTCATCAAAACATTGATTTGTATCAAGCTTGAACACAGAACCCACATTCACCTCCGTCATATACTTCAGCCAATTTGGCAAGAATCCGTACGATTTCTCCCAGTCACCAAACAACTTAACGATGGCCTTCATTTTTGCCTTCCAGGCCTTCCTGTACGTTATGTTGTATCCATATGTTCCCTGTATCCTCTCCTGTATCAGAGCTGGTCTTGTGGATGGATCTTCCTTTAACATATCTGGAAAAAAAAAATAACTTTACCATATTCTCAATTAATCTGAATCATTAAATACACAGTAGAATACATACTCACTATAGCCGCACAAATGACATTTGAATCCAACTGTCTATGATCCTGTGCTAGGCCTTGATTTAGGCATGTGTGACCTTGACCCCATTTACGGACCACCCAATTAGCTCCCTTCTTCGGCTTAATTGCCCTCATATACCAGGGACAACCGTCAGCATGGTTTTTACACTTCATAACAAATCTTGACTCGTCGCTTTTTTCAACTATGGCTGTCCTGCGCCCCTTCATACAATGTATCTTCACAGCATGTTGCAATTCTGGTTTGGACCCAAATTCTTGTTGCACAAATAACGGATCTCCTAACTTCCAACCTCCGTGCAAGTCATCATCGCCATATAGGATCTCCAATTCGTCATTAGGGTGCGCTCAGTTAATGAATGAATAATGTTGGCTTTCATTCCAGAATGGCTCCTCAGACCCTGCATCTAAAGATCAACTCTCATTTGTCTGAATGAATACCACCACAAATAATAAATTGTCTAAAGCAAATGTTCAAATTTAATAACTTACCACTACTGACTGGGTCGACATGATGTGGTGACAAGGCTGGGGTACCGAGACTTACGGCGCTCATGTCAGCCTCAAAATTACCGTCCACGTCAGTGTCTGACGAATCACCTTCTGGAATAGCACTTTCAGGTTCTCCCTCATCTTCGCTGTCCACATAGTCCTCGTCTTCATCCTCTTCATCCTCATCCAATGCTACCTGAGGAGGTGCAGAAGATCGTACAACTGTATCTTCTTGACCGGTACAGTGTGCAGTAGTGGTTGTATGCACCGGTAAAGATGAAGATTGTCCAACATCAACTTCAACATATATCTCAATATATTTTAATACTTTCCATTCAACAAACGCATCTGTTACGAACTCCACATCTTCATCATCATTTATATCGTTTCCAATGTAGTATATTGTATCCATATCCACTACAGTCTCTAACCTGGCTATCATGCGGTGGATGGAATGTATGCCTTATGACCCTATTTTTTGAAGAATTCTCTCCTTCAGTTCATTGCATGTAGTGCCCACTTTGATTTTCATCGTTTTTGTTTTTCCTTCAAATCGGACACCGTTCGGACCTTCAAAATGCCTCCCATTGTAGTAAATAACTATAGGAACCATGTTTGGACTTGAACTCATCTTTCACACAAAAATTAGATCTAGGTTTTGGGTTTGGAGGTTGGTTCGAATTTTTGAGCACAAAATGGGAGTGTGGAGATGTAATCTCAATGTCCCACCAAGATTCAGCTTTCTGAAATGATGAGATGAAATATGTGTGATGTTTCGGATTAGAGAGGGTAAGAGAGAGAGATTTGGGGTTTCAAAAACCCTATACCTCGCAACAATGGCCGAAACCCATACATATTGGGGTTTCTGGACGCGATTTACCCGGGTACACTGATCCATACCCGGGTAAATCATTCAACCATTTTCCCAGATTCAAGAACTCTACCCGGGTACACTCCTACATACTCGGGTAGATAAAAAATTTTCAAAAATTACCCGGGTAGGTAATGGTGTACCCGGGTAGGCTTCGTGGTCAACGGTCAAACAGGGGCAGATTGGTGTTATGTTTGTTGGGGAGGGTAAATTTTCGAAATAGTTTTGAATGAAGGGCAATTTGGTAATTAATTATTAATTAAGGGTCAAAAAGCCTATCTTTGGCACATAGTATAGAATAAGGTCTGATAATATAAGACTTAATAGTATAAGACATGATTGTATAAGACCTGATTAAATTTTATTACTATCCAGCGTTTGACATAATATTGTATAAGATAATATATTATATAAGATAATATTATCTAATGTTTGATAATACACTGTATTATACTAGATAGGTTAAAAATAAATATTGTCAAAAATACCTTTTAATAATGAATTTACATAATTCTTTCAAATATATAAGATGATATTATGTCTTATAGAAATATGTTGATGAGTATGTTCAAAAAATTATTAATTTTTATAAAAATAAAAATCTCTAATATTTTAAAAAATTATATATTGAAAAAATATTTTTTACATTAATATACTAATATTAAAATAATATATTAATTCTTGAGAATTATATTGGTTAATACATCAATCCTTTATCAGACCTAATCTTACTTTCCTAGGTCTGATTAAGTTATACACCATTTTGATGTATAAATGAATCTTGCTGTATAAGCTTATACTATACGATGGTCACATCAAATAACTAAAAATATCATAATATATAATATAAATTTATACTATCAAACCTTATACATCACACCTGCCCTTATAAACAAAACGAAAGTAGAGTCAACGGAGTCTTGATGTATTCCGTACGTAAACAAGCAGTGAATGTAGCAATATTTGATTTTCCAAAGTACTTTCTACTAATATATTTTTCTATACTACTCATCCCCATAAGGGCCCCATTAGGAATCTTTCTTTTGATCTAACTGGGAAAGTTGAGAGATTCTCATTTCTGTTACCGGTTTCAACCAATTTTCAATTTTTTTTTTTTTTTTTTATTTGTGAATCTGTGTGAAAGATTTACGACAAGAACAACTTTCATACCGTAGTAGAGTTGTTTTTTTCTCTCAGTTTCAATTTTTGTTCAGTATTTTTTTTTCCAATAATATAAGTCTCACACGAAATGTGTTATATAACATAAAAATTGATGTAGTATTTTTATGTATTTTTTTTAAAAGAACATTTTTTAAAAGATAAAGTTATTTTATATATAGATATATGATCTGAAAATCACTTTTACATAAAAAAAGTTATTTAGATGTTAAAATAAAAAAAAAAATTTATATATAAAATTATAATAAATGAGAGATAAATTAGCATGATCGTGAGATAAGGAGAGATAAAATAAATATGATAAGATGAGGTTAAAATTATATTTTAAAAATTTATATTATCTTATTTCCAAAAAAAATTATATTATCTTTTGATTTCTGTTTTTTTCAAAAGCAACAAACTACTGACTAAAAAAATCAGTATTTTAACTTTTATTTTATTTTTTTTAAAAATATTATTATCCAAATATCTAAAAATTCTCAAAAGACTTTTATTAAAAAAAGACTTTTATTAAAAAAAAAACTTTTTTTAAATATAAAAGCTCATCCAAATAGACACTAAATGTGGTAGTTAGTTTAATTACTTAGAGGATTCAAATTTGGAAAAGAATTATAACAAATAGGATAAAAGATATAACCAAAAAGTGACGGAGATTTAAACTTCAAAAAAGTTGACATATTATGTTTGACACTCTTCAATATTTCGATACTTCCCGATATTTTGATACCTTGACATCTATAAAATTTTATTATATATCGTAAAAATGATATTTTACAAAAATGATATAATAAAAATTAAAATTAAATATCAAATAAATCTAACTAAAATGTATAAAAGTCTTTCAATTTGAAAATATAATAATAAATATTTAAAATTTGTTTATTTATAATATTAATAGATATTATAAATTTAGTTAATTTTTTGTTAAATAAATATAATATATACTGTATAAATTAAAAATATTATTTAATATTAAAAGTGGACTTCAAGTATCAAAATTTAATATTTTTTTAAATTAATTTATTAAAATATAATGTCATATCGTATCATGTGTTTCTCGGTATAACATAGAGGAAACAATGAATGAAAAGTTAAAAGAAAAGAAAGATGATGTCATGTGTTGCGATCTAGATTCTTCTGTTTGTTTCGGTTCTATTCCATTCATGATTTAGTCCCACTTTCTTTTGTTTTTTTTTGATCGAATGTCCCACTTTCTTTTAATTATTATCTGTTTGAATGCTCTTTTTAATTACTAACCGGGTTCTAGTTGGCTCCAATTTGGTCCGCGTTTAGCGTACGCGTGAATTATCCTCATCAAGAATAGGATCCTCCATTCACCCAAAATCATCTCATAATCCACCGTCCACGTGTACATCTAACATCATCTCACCCGTTCAAAATCTTGTGGCCTTTGCCACTTGCGCGCAGACACCGCCTCTTCCTCCGCACTATATATACGCAAACACCGCACCCTTTGTTTCTCATTCAATTGTTTTTGGTTTACGAAGTCTCTCACAGGTTCTTTCTCTCTCACAGGTTCTTTCTCTCTCTTTTCTTGTTTCCTATGAATGATGTTTTACTAGGTTATTGTGGTTTTTATTTTTATTTTTTATATATAGATTGTGAATTTGATTATGATTTTTTTAGAAATTGTATCATATGGGGTTACTCTGGTTTCATTGAAATATCATGAATCAAATCGTTATTTGAATTATGCTTATGGTGCTTGCGGAATTATTTTTTTTGGGTGATTATCTTTTGTTTGAAATTGGCCTTTTATTCTTTTTGGGTTCCTGCGGTTGCTTTGTTATTATTGGTGAGTTCGCTTAATTTATGTATTTGATGTTTACGGGTAGTTGGTGATTGGCGATCATAAAGATACAACTTTTTTTTTGATTTTTTTCCATACTTGCAGTTTTTTATTTGTTTAGTTTGTGACATCGGTTATCATGTGCCAAGTTTGATACATAATTTACAATATGGACACTTTTTTATTCTTTAATTTTAGAAGGGGTATTTGGTGTTTGACAATCATGAAGTTAGGGAATTTTTTATTGCTTATAATCTAAAATTTGACATGGTATTTGGTTTTTGTTGAATGCAGTTGCTTTCTGCGTTGGTTGTTGCTAAGTCTTCATCAAGCAAAGTACATGGTTGATTTGGAAATTCAGGTTCCCACCCCTTTTGACCCATTTGCTGAGGCTATAGAATCGGATGCACCGGGGGCCAAAGAGTATGTGCATATACGAATTCAACAAAGGAATGGAAAAAAGAGCTTAACCACTGTGCAAGGGCTGAAGAAGGAGTTCAGCTACGAGAAGATATTGAAGGACCTCAAGAAAGAGTTCTGTTGCAACGGGAATGTTGTTCAGGACAAGGAGCTTGGCAAGATAATCCAACTCCAAGGTGATCAGCGCAAGAACGTTTCTCAGTTCCTTGTACAGGCTGGCCTTGTTAGGAAGGACCAGATCAAGATTCATGGTTTTTGAACAAGGACTTGGTTGTGCTGTTTGAAGTTGTTGGTGGATGATTTGTCATTTGGGATTGTCTTTTATTTTCTTTCTAGTTTGATGATATTGGAATAAGTCTGGTTTGGTTTTCCTTTCTTTGTGTTTTTTCGTTGAAAAGAATTTATGATTGAATTCTATGGATGTTGTTGATGAACTTGAATGTATGCGAGGCACCTTACAAATAATACTTGATGATTTGGTTTCTAGGAGTTGATGTCTTCTGCTATGTTTCATTTAGAGCTGTGTTTTCGGATTAAGTACAATAGTGATTAATTTTATGCATGGTTATGAGTTTAATATTTGTCATGATTTCAACGAGTGACCCATTTTCACGATCAAATATTTTATATAGCTTGTTTGACTTATAGGTCGCATATTTTAAGCGTTTCCGAACGTATTCAGTTCAACTGAATAGTTGTAGTGGTCGAGCAAGAAGACCAAAGAAAATTAGAAAACCCATTTTACCATAAAAAATATGGCCTCTTTAAGACTGGATCTTTTCTGACGGGGTCAAAATATATGGATTTTAAAGTAAATGATTAAAATAAAAAAATTATATAATTGAAAAAGATTACTCACCATTTTTAAGTTGTAATTCACACAGCATTGAATGATATTGCATAAATTGTAAATACCAAATACATGTGAAATTGATTTAAAAATAAAATATTATATATATATATATATATATATATATATATATATATATATATATATATATATATATATATGAATTTATATTAGATTTAAATTTTTTATTATTTGTGCATCAAAAGAAAAAAATTACTTTGTATTTTTTTATACATAAATTACTTTGTATTTACTTTTAAAATATTATTTTTTTATGTTATTTATTTATTATATTTATATTTAGATATTAAAATTTGAGAATTGTGAAGTAAAATTAATTTTATCATATTTAAATGTTCTTTTACCCAATTTAAATTTTAATTCAATTTTTTATTCATTTATTATGTATTAATATTTATATAGAAATTAAATATATTTTATTTGAAAAATTTAAATATTTTTATTGTATTTAAATCTATTTTCTACCAAATTATTTTTTAAATCCTTTTAATGTTTCATTTTGTTATATTTTTTAAATTAATTTAAACAATATATTTGATAAATGGTTAATTAATTACTGCATATTACCTCAGCAAGTAGTTAATTATTAGTAATATAAAAATATGCTTTTGCGAGAATTCACTAGGTTAAGTCTTTTTGGATTACTAATGTATCCTTTGGTTAGAATTTTTTAATTTACGTCAGTTTTTAATTTTTTTTTGTTTTTATGTCATCTTTAGATCAAATTATCAACCACGAGTGTCGACATAAAGCCTACGTGATCAATTGAAATCACATGTGAATCTCGTGTTTTTAGTTTGAGATTAAAATTGAAACTTTGGTTAATGTTAGAGACGAGTTCTAATTTATTTTTGTTATAAAAGATATTTGATCAGACCAAATCTTTACAACTGGGCCGATCATGTGATCTTCCTCTACACAAAGGCCTGAAACCTCCTTGGGTCAGAGCATCTTGCAGTTTGGAGTTCAGAGCAGCTTTAACCCATAGGTGTTTTGGGGAACGCGATGGGGGGTGTACCTGCAAGACACTCCGACGTTCAAGTCAGTTATGGTTCAAGCAGGTTTAATTATGTATGAGAAGATGATGTACCTTAGTATTGATACATGTATTTATAGTGGAGATATGAGCAGCTTGGAGATGTCTTAATGCTGAAGTATATTTGGAGATGAAGTATCTTGAAGTTACTTGTTGTCATGCTGCTTTTAATGTTGAGGAGCTTTGCTAAGATAAGCTTTAATATTGTGGTGCTTGATGGGATAAAGCCATTAATATTGTGCAACTTGATGGCTGTCATGAGCTTGCTGTTATAGCAGCTTGTGGAGTTTGCTGTCTGTCATGGTGCTTTTAATATTGTGGAGCTTGCAGCCTTCTTGGACTAAGGCTTTGCTTCATTGTGAAGGCTTTAATTCTGGGCCTTGTATTTGTATAATATTTATCAAGATCAGAAGCCCCGAGCTCGTTGCTTATGCCGAAGGCATGAGGAGCGAGATGTATAAGTCTTTTGTATAGGTGCTTGAGAGCTTCATATTTGTATCCTGCATTTTTATACCGTTCATAATTCGTATTTCATAAAGTTGGCATACCTTGTGCATGTTTTGGGGTTTGATGTTGCTGAATATGTAGCTATAAGTGTCGCGTTTTTGGAAGGAATTTGGCCCTAGGTGGGGTTCATCCTGCCTTGTATCGCGCTTGATCTTGGAGGATCGCGATAAGACTTGGAGGATCGCGATGTGAATAGTTCCGATCCGTTGAGCGGATCCTTGAGAGGAGTCCTGTTGCTTAGAGGATTCGTGGGAGAATCCTGTTATTTGATAGGATCCTTAAGAGGAATCCTGTTACTTGAGGGATTCGTGAGAGAATCATGTTATTTGCTAGGACCCATGAGAGGAATCATGTTACTTGGAGGATTCGTGGGAGAATCCTGTTATTTGCTGAGAGGATCCATGAGAGGAATCCTGTTACTTGGCGGATTCGTGAGAGAATCTTGTTTGTTGATAGGATCCGTGAGAGGAATCCTGTTACTTGGAGGATTCGTGAGAGAATCCTGTTATTTGATAGGATCCGTGAGAGGAATCCTGTTATTTGATAGGATCCGTGAGAGGAATCCTGTTATGTTCTTCATTGCGCTTTGGCTTGGAGGAATTTTCTTCTGTTTGGTGAAACCTGTAATTTCCATTGATCTCACAGAATAATAACATTATATCATGGAGATGATAATTGTAATAAGATCATGTTAAATTAGTTCAAAACAATAATGTTGCTGATAAGAAATGTAGCATTTGTTTTTGAGTTTGTCCGTGTTTCATGCGAAATTTTTGTCTTCGCCTTTTAGCAGTCATGGAGCCCTGCAATCTCTTATGGATTTCACAATAGAAGTAGTTAAGATAACTCAAGATAAGAGTATATAAATCAGATAAACTGTTCCAAGTCGATCTGCATTCTCAGTGAGATTGAGATCTTCACTGTTAATTGTCCATGGGTCCCTGCAACTTGTATGAGTTTCATAACAGAGACATAAGATTGTCAAAATAAGTCATATATGTCATGATTTTTATCGCGTGAGCATCGTGCAAGTTTATGTAATCTCGCAAAAAATATGATCAAAATAGTGATTTAAGCATTCATGATACCTTCAGTCAATAAATGGTACAGATATGTACATCTCAGTGGTCTAGAGTTTATACCACTTTTGGGTCAAACTATACATGGTGAAATGTATAATGCACTTGAAAGTACAGGCGACAAGATTGTTAAAAGTATTACGTATAGTCAGAACAAAGGCTATTGAAGTATAAAGGTCATCAGAACAGGTATAGTACCACTTTTAGCGCGGTATGTTATCGCGACATCTAATAGTAGGCTATTGCTATTTATGGGACATGTATCTTGTAAGGGAATTAATGGTGTGTAATGATGTCCTCAAACCTACTGCATGTTCCTTATATACATGCATCTTGCTAGCATAAGATTACGTGCTCTTTCTTGACCATAGCATGCGTAAAGTGTACACAAATTTTCTTCATAATATTGGCGCATCCTGTCTCGAATCAAGTTGTGTAATAAGAAAACTCTTGGCCATTAGTGAAAACGAAATATTGCGCACATAAAGATTTGGAGGTTGGCAAAAAGGAGGATACATCTCGCACAGGACACGACGATGAGGAGGTTTGAGTGTAGTTATAGGTGTAGTTATAGGGGAAATTCTCCAAACCTTATCAATACTTCTGGGCAAATAAAAACCCTAATGAATGTTAAGAAGTATGCTCTTCACAGGTAACGAACTTGATCAGACCTGTTCAAGGACTGGTATACGATATACATATGAACCGGCAATAATGGAGGTGTCGGTTACTAACGTGTCCAAAGAGATATGAACTGTTGACAATCGTAGATTTTTTCTATGAGATCATCGCATCATCGCGCACTGTTTCCCCATCGCGCAATCTGAGATATCAAAGCGCAATAATATTTCAAAGTAGAAACTTCTATCAAAGCGCTAAAAATCAAAAACTCTTCTTTCAAGAGTTGCTAAGGGCATATCTATCTTCCATTGAGTTTGACCATCCAAGTAAAGACAATTTAGCCCGTGTTCCACTTCGGAGATAAAGACAACTTTTTCTTCGACATCCAATTTATATATTTTATTTTTTATCAGGTTGTGGGCAAAGCTAATCTTGCGCAAACCAAACGGCACTATTTGAGATGGGTATGGCGCGATCTAATACGGCTAGAAAGGTTACTGCGCAATCCTATATGTTCTGTTATAAAATATTTAACATGCGCGCAATTAAACTAAAGCCCCTTCGCACATTCTTTGCCGAAAGCCAATCGCTAGAACCTTCTGGTCTTGTCTAATTATCATACATGAAAAAATTGTTGGTTTGATATTGTATAAAAGGTTTATAAAAGGGTGGTTCCACCTTGGTTGTGACATATGTAAGGTCATCTACACTTGTTATTTCAGGGTACATGCCTTAATAACTATACCAATGACTTCCAACAATGCATCGTGCTTTCACGTTCCATGCATCTTGCTCATGTGCTGGCATAATTCATCTAAAAGATATGCTAAAATACGTGCAAGCCATGTCTAACGGACCTTGGTGTGTGCTGTTAACCATTGTATATGTGCAACAATAAGTCTTGAGTAATGAACCATCAATAAGTCTTAGATAAAACTTTCCTTGAAAATATATTTATTGCGCACTTTAACTATGCATCGCGCATGTACTTTCCTAGATATTTGGGAATACAGTAGGCTGTATGTGGAAGTTACTAGTATATGGATCTTACCGCCTTATGCTATGTATGTTTTATATCTTCTCATAACATGTGAGATAGAAAATGTAGCCTGAACTTTGGTTCCACAACAAACAGTTTTGGGAGTAGTACTTCTATATGACATGTGGTAAGGCCAAGTGCAGGTAGCTATAAGTTTTTTTTTTTTGGGAAAAATGTAAATATATATATTAACCCAATGTGAATCAAAGTGATACAATATAGCTGGGGCATACCCCGCAAAACAAAAGATGAGGCAACACAACAACAGATGATCCTAGTGCAGAAGCTAAAGAAAGCTAAACCACTAAGAACATATGCCTAGTACAAATGGGTAAG